AAATGTGATCTTGTGGAGTTAGGAGCATCTCAGACTTAGAACTGAATAGAATAGTTGACTCAGCGAAGGAACGTTGTAATATGGTCCGTACCATTCAGTAAATCAGCGATGTCAGGAAGGACTGCAAAGATGGCACTCTTGTCAGCTGCAGGGGGAGGAGGGGGATGCTTGGGGGTGTAGTCACTGGCTGAGATTGACAGCGTGGTGAAGGTGCTAACCAGCAGGATGCCTAACCCCACCCACAACACCAACTAGAGAGAGAGAGAGACAGAGAGAGAGAGATGTTGGTCAGCGATGGGGTTAGTAGAGATAGTGTGTGTGTGTGTGTGTGTGTGTGTGTGTGGTACCTGTGCGGTGAGTCCATTCTTCTGGATCTTTCTGTAGATGAGGGCGGGGCAGATGAAGCAGATGAGGGAGCCCATGGTGGCTCCAGTCAGACCAAGGATGGTCTCGACTACAGAGGAAGGAGCAGAGACAAACATGAAGTCACACACACAATGCACTTGCCTGGCTAAAGCCACATACTGTAGCTGATAGTGTACCAGGTGGGTCTACATGTCAGCCAGGCTAACAGTCCTCATCCTCCTCTTCCACTCTTCTCTTTCTCTCCACCTCTTCCTGCACCTCCTCCTGCACCTCCTCAACTTTTCCAGACAGAAAGGGACATGGCTTAGCGTTCCTGTTCAATCAGAAGTCAGAATCCCCATGCCCCGTCCAACCCATCTGGTCCATGACCCTGTCCCAAATGAAGCACAAATGTACACACCCCTAATCTAATCTAGCACAAGCTTCACTTCCAGACCCTGTGTTTCAAGACAGTACAAGTGCAATCCTCCTCCTGACACAATCCCTCCCTCCCCTGGGGAGGTCTGTCTGGGCGCTGGGCCCAGGCCCAATCTCTCCTCCTGGGAGCCCATCCCAATCTCTCCTCCTGGGAAACCAGGCCATATCCTTCCTCCTGGGAACCCAGGCCCAATCTCTCCTCCTGGGAACCCAGGCAATATCTCTCCTCCTGGGAACCCAAGCCCAATCTCTCCTCCTGGGAACCCAGGCCACATCCTTCCTCTTGGGAACCCAGGCCATATCTCTCCTCCTGGGAACCCAGGCCATTTCTCTCCTCCTGGGAACCCAGGCCCCATCCTTCCTCCTGGGAACCCAGGCCCCATCCTTCCTCCTGGGAACCCAGGCCCCATCCTTCCTCCTGGGAACCCAGGCCCCATCCTTCTTCCTGGGAACCCAGGCCCCATCTCTCCTCCTGGGAACCCAGGCCCCATCTCTCCTCCTGGGAACCCAGGCCATATCCTTCCTCCTGGGAACCCAGGCCCCATCTCTCCTCCTGGGAACCCAGGCCCCATCTCTCCTCCTGGGAACCCAGGCCATTTCTCTCCTCCTGGGAACCCAGGCCATTTCTCTCCTCCTGGTAACCCAGGCCCCATCCTTCCTCCTGGGAACCCAGGCCCCATCTCTCCTCCTGGGAACCCAGGCCCCATCTCTCCTCCTGGGAACCCAGGCCCCATCTCTCCTCCTGGGAACCCAGGCCATATCCTTCCTCCTGGGAACCCAGGCCCAATCTCTCCTCCTGGGAACCCAGGCCATATCTCTCCTCCTGGGAACCCAAGCCCAATCTCTCCTCCTGGGAACCCAGGCCACATCCTTCCTCTTGGGAACCCAGGCCATATCTCTCCTCCTGGGAACCCAGGCCATATCTCTCCTCCTGGGAACCCAGGCCATTTCTCTCCTCCTGGGAACCCAGGCCATTTCTCTCCTCCTGGTAACCCAGGCCATTTCTCTCCTCCTGGTAACCCAGGCCCCATCCTTCCTCCTGGGAACCCAGGCCCCATCTCTCCTCCTGGGAACCCAGGCCCCATCTCTCCTCCTGGGAACCCAGGCCCCATCCTTCCTCCTGGGAACCCAGGCCATATCTCTCCTCCTGGGAACCCAGGCCATATCTCTCCTCCTGGGAACCCAGGCCATATCTCTCCTCCTGGGAACCCAGGCCATATCTCTCCTCCTGGGAACCCAGGCCATATCTCTCCTCCTGGGAACCCAGGCCATATCTCTCCTCCTGGGAACCCAGGCCATATCTCTCCTCCTGGGAACCCAGGCCATATCTCTCCTCCTGGGAACCCAGGCCATATCTCTCCTCCTGGGAACCCAGGCCATATCTCTCCTCCTGGGAACCCAGGCCATATCTCTCCTCCTGGGAACCCAGGCCATATCTCTCCTCCTGGGAACCCAGGCCATATCTCTCCTCCTGGGAACCAGGCCATATCTCTCCTCCTGGGAACCAAGGCCATATTGTGTGCCTCAGATTTAGTGTCTGTTTCCCCTCTGAGTCCCCCATCCCCCTTTCTCTCCATTAGCCTGATTAGATACACACACCCCAGCGCGCGCGTGTGTGTGTGTGCGCGCGTCCCTACCCAAACACAAGCCTAACTAATAGCCTTACATTTACATTTTAGTCATTTAGCAGACGCTCTTATCCAGAGCGACTTACAGTTAGTGAGTGCATACATTTTCAAACAAGATGAATAAAACATGCAAACTAACCCCAACCTTCACATCTAGATCATCATTACAGAAAACACACAACTAACGGAGACCGCTAAAGAACAAGTGTGTGTGCGGTGTGTGTTTTGTGGGGGGCTATGAGCCAGAGGGGGTGTGTGTCTGACGAGGGAGAATAACAGCTCTATCTTCCTGTCTGTTCGTCCAGAGGAGATAAAAGTTAGAGGTGTGACGGTCACTGATGTACACTACCTTTCAAAAGTTTGGGGTCACTTAGAAATGTCCTTGTATTCGAAAGAAAAGCAATTTTTTGGTCCATTAAAATAACATAACATTGAAACTCGTCAGTCCATTCTTGGTCTGAGAAATGAAGGCTATTCCATGCGAGAAATTGCCAAGAAACTGAAGATCTCGTACAACGCTGTGTACTACTCCCTTCACAGAACAGTGCAAACTGTCTCTATCCAGAATAGAAAGAGGAGTGGGAGGCCCCGGTGCACAACTGAGCAAGAGGACAAATACATTAGTGTCTAGTTTGAGAAACAGGCGCCTCACAGGTCCTCAACTGGCAGCTTCATTAAGTAGTACCCGCAAAACACCAGTCTCAACATCAACAGTGAAGAGGCGACTCCGGGATGCTGACCTTCTAGGCAGAGTTGCAAAGAAAAGCCATATCTCAGACTGCCCATCTTAATCTTATATTTTTATTGGCCAGTCTGAGATATGGCTTATTCTTTGCACCGGGGCCTCCCAATCCTCTTTCTATTCTGGTTAGAGCCAGTTTGCGTTTTCTAATGATCAATTAGCCTTTTAAAATTATAAACTTGGATAAGCAAACACAACGTTCCATTGGAACACAGGACTGATGGTTGCTGATAATGGACTCTGTACGCCTATGTAGATATTCCATTAAAAATCAGCAGTTTCCAGCTACAATAGCCATTTACAACATTAACAATGTCTACACTGTATTTCTGATCAATTTGATGTTATTTTAATGGACAAAAAAAATGCTTTTCTTTCAAAAACAAGGACATTTCTAAGGGAGCCCAAACTTTTGAATGGTAGTGTAGCTCAGGCTATTCACACAGCCTAAGCTACAACACACATGACACAGCACACACACCTTAAAGACCTGCACTCACATACACACACACACACACACACACACACACACACACACACACACACACACACCATTGGGGATGAGGATGCCTCCCAGCATGGTTCCGAAGACGATGGCAAGGGTGATCATCTTAAACCGCAGTGGAGGCATGTACCCCCCCGGAGCAAACGTCCCGTCCTTCTGCTGAGAGGGAGAAACAGAGGGGAGAGACAGAGATTCATTATAACAGTGTTCTACAGTAAAGCTCTTCCAGGTTAGGGAATGATAATATCATATCACTATTTACAGTGTGTGTCTCTGTTTTGGTTTTACTTTCCTTACGGGGACCAGATAGTAAAACAAGGATAACAGTGGGTCCCCACAAGGAAACAGGCTATTTTGGGCTTGGGGGTTAGATTCAGGGTTCAGGGTGAGGGTTTCTATTAGGGTTACAATTAGGGTTAGGGGTTAGGTTTAGGAGTTAGGATTAGGTTTATAGCTCAGACACACCGGTAGGATTGTCAAGCGTTTGCCTGCCGACAGTACTTAGCACCTCTGAACAGAGTGTCGGCAGTCAATCTCTTTTGTGTTCAAACAGCAAAGATCTTGAAGTCGTCAGCCACTCAGACTTGTTAAAATACTCCAAACCAGAAGGTGGCAGTAGCATTGTTTGGCAATGCATGTCCGTGTCTGTTGCTTTATGGTCTAGTCAATGTTAGATACGCCAATGTTGCTATTGTTGTAGAAAGCCCTTGTTGATACTAGCCAGATGGCCACAGCTAGATAACTAGCTAGCAAGATGACAATTAAACAATTTAATTAATTCTCCATAATCGCATACAGCCCGTAGATACATGTTTAGCTAGCTGGCTAAATTGTTAGCATGATACGCTAGCTAACTACCTGTTGTGCTAGCTAGGTAAAGACACTGCATTGGCTATCAGCAGCCAGCTTCATGGAAACAAATCAATTGTGATTGAATTATAATGTTACTAGGTACAGTGGCCAGATAGCTAGCTTGGTAAAGCATTTAGTGTTGTGTGCATTGTGCTGCACTTACCACCCTACTAGTTTCATATGAAGTGTGTGTGACTGCCTTGCTCAGTTAGCAAGGTAATGTTAGCTAGCTAGCTAGCTCACAAACTAATAAGCTAGCGCACATTATCAAACCTAACAAAAAAATATTTATTCAAGCACAGAAATCCTTAGCTAGACGTAAAAGATGTAAAGACTTGCTCTAGAAAAAAAAAAGTATTATGCAGCTTTGTTTAAGTTAGAACAATTGTAATGAAAAGGGTGGATTAGAATGGAAAATGGGCCCTCTTTTCCCCCTTTTTCTTGTCACTCCTGTCAGCTCCCCCACGTGGAGGTTCGTGCTCTCTGATTGGCTCAAAGTCAAGTTGTCGGCCACTGCCAAGCATTGCGATACTACAAGTAGAAACGGCAGGTTCGTCGGTACCAGGTCGGTACACAGCAGGTACGTATTTTGTTCTAGCAAGAGAAGGAACGGCCTCCTACTGTGATAAGTACCTATTGGCACTCAAATTCTAAGTGAATTTCATGCTTTAGGGTTAGGGAAAATAGGATTTTGAATGGGAATCAATTGTTTGGTCTCCACGAGGATAGTAAAACAAAAACGTGTGTGTGTTCGTGTGTTAGGGCTGGGAATTGCTAGGTAACTCACGATATGATATTATCACAATATTTAGGTGCCGATACGATATGTATTGCGATTCTCACAATTCCATATGTATTGTGATTCGATACTGTGATTTTATTGCGATTCGATGTTCCAAACATATTGCTGCTGCAGGGGTACAAGAGATGGCCTAGAGAGCCTAAGCTAGTTTTGGTGCAGGTACAAAAGCTAGCGCAAAAATATTATTGCGATATTGTCAAAACGATACGATATATCATCAAAAATCATATTCCGATATGTAACGGTATCGATTCCCCTACCCCCATCACTATCATGTGTGTTGGTGTGTTAACCTTTATGTGTGTATATAGTCACCTGTTGTTCGAACAGCATGGTGTTGATGGCCTGTCTACAGGGCAGTATCATCATGGGGAAGCCCACCGCCACTGACATCATGAATCCCACCCGGATCATCTTAGTCACCAGGTTAGAAGGGAAGTTCATCAGAACGTTACCGGCTATGTCCTCCGGGAAACTGACGTAACCAAAAAATCCCACCTAGAGGAGGAGGAGAGGATGGAAGGGTTCAAAAGAAAAGGAATAGAGCTAAGCACAGGCAAAATCTGGTTCAGTCTGCTTTCCAACAGACACTGGGAAACAAATTCACCTTTCAGCAGGACAATAACCTAAAACACAAGGCCAAATCTACACTGTAGTCTACACCAAGACAACGTTGAATGTTCCTGAGTGGCCTAGTTACAGTTTTGACTTAAATCGGCTTGAAAATCTATGGCAAGACTTGAAAATGGGTGTCTAGCAATGATCATCAACTAACTTGACAGAGCTTGAATACTTCTTTTAATAATAATGTGCAAATATTGTACAATCCAGGTGTGCACAGCTCTTAGAGACTTACCCAGAAAGACTCGCAGCTGTAATCGCTGTCAAATATTATTCGAACATGTATTGACTCAGGGGTGTGAATACTTATGTAAATGAGATATTTATGCATTTCATTTTCAGTAAATTTGCAAACAATTCTAAAAACATGTTTTCACTTTGTCATTATGGGATATTGTGTGTAGATGGGTGAGAAAACAACGACAATTTAATCCAGGGGTGTCAAACGTCCGGCCCGCGGGCCGGATCAGGCCCGCAAACGTGCATGATGAACGCAGCGGAGATTGTGTGCCCTGAAAAGCGGCAGGCTTTTGCAAATATCAGCCTGACAAGAAACACAGTTGCAGACAGGATTTCCGATCTTTCAGTGGATTTGGACAGCCAGTTGAAGCAAAAAGTAAAGTCATTTATTGCGTTTTCGGTTGCAATTGATGAAAGCATGGACATTACAGATGTTGCACAACTGGCCATTTTCATCCGCAGAGTTGATGACACATTGACCGTCACCGAGGAGTTCGTGGAGTTGGTGCCGATGACAGATACAACGACAGCAGCTGATATTTTTACCGCACTCGTCGGCGCGCTGGACAGGGTCGGAGTGGACTGGTCCCGCGCTGTCAGCCTGGCTACAGATGGTGCGCCCTCAATAATCGGGAAAAAAGCAGGCGTTGTGACAAAGTTCAGAGAGAAAGTGCAATCTGCAAATGGAGGACGTGATTTTTTGACTTTTCACTGTATTTTGCACCAGGAGGCTTTGTGTTGCAAGTCATTAAAGATGGATAACGTCATGAAGGTGGTCATCCAAACTGTTAATTTCATCCGATCCAGAAGCCTGAATCACCGTCAGTTTGACAGCCTTCTCAGAGAGAAAGACCACATCTATGGCCTGCCATACCACACTGAGGTAAGATGGTTAAGCCGAGGTGCTGTGCTGAGGCGTTTCTTTGATTTACGAGAAGAAATTGAACAGTTCATGGAAGAAAAGGGCAAACCAGTGTTAGAATTTCATTCCGCAGAATGGATGCAGGACCTTGCATTTATGGTGGATGTTACAGAGCACCTGAATAACTTGAACAAACAGCTGCAAGGGCGCAACAAAGTTGTCACGCAGTATTATGACAGCATACGTTCTTTCAAGTTGAAGCTGTCATTGTGGGAGACGCAACTTGCCGGTGGTGATGCAGCTCACTTCCCCTGTCTGAAAAATGTGTGCGCGACCCAACATGTGGCAGACATGAAGCGGTTCAAAGAGAAAATAACGGGACTGTTACGGGAGTTTGAGCAACGCTTTCAGATTTATGTTTATATGTTTTTATGTTGATGTGCTATTGTTTTTAATTGTTTTTATTTTATTTGTATATTTAACCTATTCTTGACTCTGTGGTTCTTGCACTTGTTTGGGGAACAGGATTTCATTATTTGTATCTACATTTCTGCCTGAGAAATGACACCCTGATATAGTTCTGTGATCTGTGATATACTTCTGTGAATCACTGAGGCATTGTGTGTTTGTGTGTTCTTTGTCCTCAGAACTTTCAAATAACTTGAGGTGTTTTATGATTAATAGTGATGTTGTGCTTTTGGACACTGTCCTCAGGCTCCAGCTTTATGTTTATATGTTTTTATGTTGATGTGCTATTGTTTTTAATTGTTTTTATTTTATTTGTATATTTAACCTATTCTTGACTCTGTGGTTCTTGCACTTGTTTGGGGAACAGGATTTCATTATTTTTATCTACATTTCTGCCTGAGAAATGACACCCTGATATAGTTATGTGATCTGTGAAACAGTTCTGTTAATCACTGAGGCATTGTGTGTTTGTGTGTTCTTTTTCTTTAGAATTTTCAAATAAACTTGACGTGTTTTATGATTAATAGTGATGTTGTGCTTGTACTATTTTGGACACACTGTCCTCAGGCTCCAGCTTTATGTTGTATGTTGATCGTATTAAAACAAAGAAAACAATCTGAAGTTGTTGTTTTTAAGTTATATATACACCATGATTTTTCCGGTCCGGCCCACTTGGGAATAGATTTTCCTCCATGTGGCCCCTGAGCTAAAATGAGTTTGACACCCCTGATTTAATCCATGTTGAATTCAGGCTGAAACAACAACATGTGGAATAAGTCAAGGGGTATGAATACTTTCTGAAGGCACTGTAAAACACACCTAAACCATCGTGCAGTATAGAACAATGTACTATGCGGCGAAGACATCGAGACAGGAAGTGACATCATGAGCGTGAACCACTTACCGTGATGTAGAAGGTGGTGACGACGTTGAGGGAGGTGGTGAAGATGGTGCTCATGCGTTTGATGGAGGGCTCGTCCAGACTGTCGTAGGTAGGCAACACCTGTCTGTAAACAAACAACCAGCCCACACTACAGCTGCCACATCAGACTGGACAAACGAGGTCAAGTTTCAGGACAAACTTTATAGGCTACTAGAAAGGTAAAGCTTCAAGACTTTGTGGATTATCAAATGTTTCGGGGGTCTTAAAAATCATAATTTTATCCAAATCTAAAATATTCTGCCAGAGAAGACATTAGACAAGGCAAATCATGAGAGGGTAAAAATGTTAATTTTGTCTGATAGTTTAGACCTCTAGTCATTATAGATGATCAGATTTAACAGTGAGGATCAGGGGTGTAATCATTAATCCAAAAAGTTTTGCAACGGAAAACGTTTACATTTACATTTCAGTCATTTAGCAGACACTCTTATCCAGAGCGACTTACAGTTAGTGAGTGCATACATTTTTCATACTGGCCCCCCGTGGGAATCGAACCCACAATCCTGGCATTGCAAGCGCCATGCTCTACCAACTGAGCTACAGGAGGCCACACGTTTACTCGAAACTGAAAACGTTTTGCAACGAAAACGAGAGTTTCTATTGGACAAATTCAGGTAGGTCCCTCCCCGTTTGGTTCTGTTTGGTTCCTAGTGAATACACCCCAGCATTCGTATCATATCACATAGATCACATGCTAAACAGATCTCATGGAGAGAGAAAAAAGCGGATTTCTCAAAAATTCTGTTGGATTTCCACGAACTTGTAGGTAGAGGGGGTGAGAAAGACTTGTGTGTGCGACTGTGTGTGTGCATGTGTGTGTTAGTGCAACGTGAGAATGAGTGGGTGAGGCAGTCTGTCTGTCAGACAGAGGAGTGCAGTGAAGTGCTGGTTATTATCTATGAGAAACAAAGAAGAACAGCGCTGTTACAGAACAGGCCAGCAGCACTGTAAAAGGGGAATTTACAGGCCTTCTATTTTACACCTAGTGCTAGGCTGGGTTTCTTGGCAGTCTTTTTTGCACTCACTTTTGTGTGTGTGTGTGTGTGTGTGTGTGTGTGTGTGTGTGTGTGTGAGTGTGTATGTGTGAGAGTGTGTGAGAGAGGGAGAGAATACAGTTACTGTCTCTCTCTATCGCATTCTCCCTCTCTCTCTCTTTCATTCACACTCTTTCATTCTCTCCCACTCCTTCTGTGGTTTTATGGTGTGCAGCACTGTCGCATGGTGCTTTTCTTTGACGCCTGTTTAAACTAAGGAACTATTCCATCTTATAACCCAGGTCAAATAAAACAGCTTACTGGAACTAGGCCTCAAACCTGTACAGTACTGTACATTCTCTCAATAGAACTCATTCCAATGTTTTTTCGTTCCGTTTACAGTTTACACCGTCTGTAAAATAATCCAATATTAGTCCAATGTATGTTTTATCATTTGGTTCATACGGTCTGTAAAACAGCGTTCAATACACATTTAATTGTGATATTCCTGCTAGTAAAACTGAAAACGATAAGTGAAACTTACACCATAGCACGTGGGTAGAGTTAAAGACATATTGTCTTCATATTGCTTATCTGGTTTGTTTGGATCCACAGCAGTATCACAGAGGGACATTTTTTGTTTGTATATTCTATGACTGCTCAGTTTCATAACTGATGTTAAATCATGTAAACAGCTTTAATAAAGGTAATAAAAAGCGTATGTGTTGAAAGCTGTTTAATCAGTGTGTGAATACATCAGTGTGTCGTAAGATGGCCGCCGTCCAGTGGTCTGATTAGTGGTTTGGCTGGAGCAGCGCTCCACTCGCTGTTTGACCATTGGCCAACAGAGGGCCCTGCCAAATATCACTCATCACCGCTAGACTGGGACACACATACAAACACACAATGGGACAGGCCCACGTGTGCGTGCACACACAGGGACGAGTGTCCGCGCTCTCACACAAACACAGAGAGAGAGAGAGAGAGAGTGATGAGAGCAGTGTTACCTCAGTGTGATAATTATTAAAGCCTTGTTCCAGCCTCAGCACCACAGTCAGCCTCACCCATCCAACACCTACCCCCACCTCACCCAAACAACACCTTCCTCACCCATCCAACACCTACCTCACCCATCCAACACCTACCCCCACCTCACCCAAACAACACCTTCCTCACCCATCCAACACCTACATCACCCATCCAACACCTTTCTCACCCATCCAACACCTTCCTCACCCATCCAACACCTACCTCACGAATCCAACACCTACCCCCACCTCACCCAAACACCTACCTCACCCTCCCCCACCTCAGCCATCCAACACCTACCTCACCCTCCCCCACCTCACCCAAACAACTACCTCACCCTCCCCCACCTCACCCAAACACCTCCAAAAACTCACATCAAACTCCTTAAAGATACTTCATACATGCAAACCTCAAGCGTACTTCCCAAACAAAGTCAACCCCAAAATAACAACCCAGTCCAACCACAAACACACACCCCTAACCACAACCAGAATCCCCACCCCCTTCCCCTCTGCAGGCCTGGCGATGACAGAAGAGAGGGGGTAGCAACAGAGCATGCAGATGGAGGTGAAGATGGAGGGATGGAGGAATAGGTGGATTATGCCGTAGGGGGGGGGGGGGACTTTACTCCTCAAGATCTCCAATCAACATCTCGTCTGCAGGCTTGTCTTCAACAGCCAAGCTAACCAGTATGCAAACAATGACGTTGTAATAAAGAATAGATTTTCCCAAGGCGAGAATGCAGCTCTTGAAAACCGTGCCGAAACAATATTCTGCACTTTGTTAGACAGATCCAACTACAGCACTGGACTGTGTCCAGAAGTAGCAGTAACTGGTGAAAGGACAGGGAATGAAGAAGCTGATTGGTTAAGCGTGAAGCTGTGAAAGTGCAACATCGAATCAGCAACCTCCCCTACGAACATCCCCCTAACTCTCCACCCAAAAACTCTGTCTCCGTCCCCTTGCAGACTAACCTCCCCTAAAGCCTTTGGCTGCATTCGTAAATTCGCTCTGGCTATCTACTCCGATTTCAGAGCACTCTCATCGGAGTGTGCCAGAGCGCAGAATAACAAATGTAAGAACGCGCAACACCCGTTGAATTTGACCGCTGTCAGTAAACATCGGCAAAAAAACGTAATGAAATTGTTGCCAGCAGCACAGTTACAGTCACTAACACATTTCAACATATTAGGTGCAGCATGAATCAGCACCTGAACTATCATGTCCATTCTACCCACTACTGTTCTGTCTCTAGACTCTACATCCTGCTCATGTTCTAGGTTGAAGATGACAAAGGTTAAGACAAGAGGATTCTAATATCCCATAACTCTTTGCAACAATTGGACCAGCTATGCTAGTTAGCAACGGTGCTGGTAGTTCGCAACGCCGCTGGTCCCATGAATCTGTTTATTTTCGAAAAGCTTCCACATGGAATCATAACTTATCCTAACCTTTATTATCTTCAACCTGGTCATGTTCAATTGGCACAAAACAGGAAACATTTTAAAATGTATTGGTAGGTAGGTACCCCTCCATTTGAAAAAGGAGGTGTCTCCCATGTTGATGCCTAATGAACCCAACCCCTATCCTATCACCCTTTTAGGGACCAGGATACAATACGTGCTACAGGATACGATACGTACCAATGCGCTGGAGGGGCGGAGAGGGACTGGGAGGTACTTACGACTGACAGGCGAAGGCCATGCCACAGATAGGGAGGCAGCGAAAGATGCCGTCCCAGCGCACCATACTGACCTGCCCCAGCCACAAGCCACTGAGCAGCCCACGTTTGAATGAGGACAGCACCATCTGAGGGAGGGAGGGAGGGAGGGAGGGAGGGAGGAGAGCAGGGAGAGTTACTGCATGAACCAAAAGAGGAAGAGGAGGAAGAGAAGGAGGAGAGAAGCCGAGGGCCTGTCTGATCATGAGTGAAAGAATGCAGAGGGGAGGAACCGGAGAAAATGAATTTGAACAAAGTAAAAACAGACAGAAGATGCCATGCTGATAAAACAGTTCTCCTCCTGCCCTACTAATGCTGTGACCATATCAGCATCATCCTCTCTGACCTGTTAGAGATGTACCCAAGCCCAATGACCAGCTAGTACAGCCTGCACGATTCATAGAGTTTTAAATCAGAATTGCAATATTGACATGCACAATATCCATATCGCAAGAGGCTGCAATATTTCAAACAGCCATCTGTAACACCCGTTTCGGGCGCAGTGCACGCTGGGGGCGCAGTGCACGCTGACTCGGTCGCCAGGTGTACGGTGTTTCCTCCAGCACATTGGTGTGGCTGGCTTCCGGGTTAAGCGGGCACTGTGTCAAGAAGCAGTGCGGCTCGGTTGGGTTGTGTTGTGTTTCGGAGGACGCGCGACTCTCGACCTTCACCTCTCCCGAGTCCGTACGGGAGTTGCAGCGATGGGACAAGACTGTATACCAATTGGATACCACGAAATTGGGGAGAAAAGGGGGGTAAAATACACCAAAAGGTATTTATTTTACACCAAAAGGTACAACACCTTCCTAATATTGAGTTGTGTTCCACAGGGATGCTGGCCCATGTTGACTCCAATGCTTCCGACAGTTGTGTCAAGTTGGCTGGACGTCCTTTGGGTGGTGGACCATTCTTGATACACACAGGAATATGTTGAGCGTGAAAAACCCAGCAGTGTTGCAGTTCTTGAGACAAACCGGTGTGCCTGACACTTACTACCAATCCTTCTTTAACCTGTCTCCTCCCCTTCATCAACACTGATGGGATCATAGCTTTCACCTGGATTCACCTGGTCAGTCTATGTCATGGAAAGAGCATAATGTTCATAATGTTTCGTACACTCAGTGTATATAAATCTAATTAGGGTCCCATGGGAAACACTGACCAACCATTTGGTTCCTACTCTGTCACAATCATCTCCTCCCTTACCTTTTCATTCGCTGTCATGCCAAACTGTATTCCAACCAGAAAATTAGAATGATCATTCTATTTATATGATTCCAACAGTTTACCCAAATCGCAATTCTATTTGTTTGCCCCTATCGTGCAGCCCTAAAAACTAGAATGCAGAATGTTAAGACTGATCATGAAATTAAATATACATTTCTGAGGGGCAGATGTTTTGATCGGTACGGCATTTACAGTCTGTAGCTGCTTCCTGTATCCAGCACCAGAGGACCAGAGAGAGAGAGCTCCATGAGCATCCTCCACATCAGAGGATGGTAGTTGAGGGGGGCAGAGGTTGAGCAACAACCGTAAACCCCCTTGCCTCCAAAACATAGACACCACAAACACAGACACACAAACAACCCAAAGACTATCTTTGAAGAGGGGAGAGGAAATGGAAATGCCAGGATTGGAGATTAAGAGGGAGGATGCTATTAGTGGGTGGGGGTTGAATTTCGTCCCCTTAGTGTCGGAGTTGATACCTTCCCCCAGGTCGGAGTTTAAAGGTTGTTTCCATGGTTACTTACGGGTGACAGCAGAAGGTGGTGGCGATAATAGGCAGGCACTGTATGACGCCCCTGACCCGCCACAGATGCACACGCTCGAACCAGGAGCCTGAGATCAGGCCGTAACGCAGAGAAGACATGACTATCTACAGCAGCCAGCCAGACAGCAGTCAGCCGGAACACAGGAGAGGAGAGAAACAGTCACAGAGAAGAAGGTAGAGAGAAACAGTCACAGAGAAGAAGGTAGAGAGAAACAGTCACAGAGAAGAAGGTAGAGAGAAACCATCACAGAGAGGAAGGTAGAGAGAAACAGTCACAGAGAGGAAGGTAGAGAGAAACAGTCACAGAGAGGAAGGTAGAGAGAAACAGTCACAGAGAGGAAGGTAGAGAGAAACAGTCACAGAGAGGAATGTAGAGAGAAACAGTCACAGAGAAGAAGGTAGAGAGAAACAGTCACAGAGAGGAAGGTAGAGAGAAACAGTCTCAGAAAGGAAGGTAGAGAGAAACAGTCTCAGAGAAGAAGGTAGAGAGAAACAGTCACAGAGAGGAAGGTAGAGAGAAACAGTCACAGAGAGGAAGGTAGAGAGAAACAGTCACAGAGAGGAAGGTAGAGAGAAACAGTCACAGAGAGGAAGGTAGAGAGAAACAGTCACAGAGAGGAATGTAGAGAGAAACAGTCACAGAGAGGAAGGTAGAGAGAAACAGTCACAGAGAGGAAGGTAGAGAGAAACAGTCACAGAGAGGAAGGTAGAGAGAAACAGTCACAGAGAGGAAGGTAGAGAGAAACAGTCACAGAGAGGAAGGTAGAGAGAAACAGTCACAGAGAGGAAGGTAGAGATAAACAGTCACAGAGAGGAAGGTAGAGAGAAACAGTCACAGAGAGGAAGGTAGAGAGAAACCGTCACAGAGAGGAAGGTAGAGAGAAATGGAAAGGAGGTGTCAGCAAGGAAGGGAAGGAGGGAGGGCAGGAGTCAGGAACGACAGTGTGAGAGAGAAGGAAGGAGGAGAGGAAGGGAGATACATCACAGTTAGAGGGGTTAGTGGTCTGGACCAGGTTGGGCGGTGGTCAGGGCCAGGACTGGGTCTGGTTCTAATCCCAGACACCACAGTACTCCAAGTCACAGTGGTGTTCAGTAGAGACGTCATGGTTCTACTACAGGCAGTTGAGGCAGAACACAGGATAGCACTAAGAGGCTATACTATACTACAGTAACAGTGCTAAAGGCTAACTGTGTAAGCAGTGCAAACACTACAGAAATAGACAGTGACAATAAGATTAACAACAATAACACTCCCAACATCAATACATTTCACAAGAGTGTCAAAGAAAAGGCAAGGGAATCATACTGTCCACAGACATTATTCTGTCAGCGTGAAACAGGGATAAGAAACTTAAGACACATATCATCATCATGCTAGGTTTTAGAAATAATGATGAGTCATCTATTGAGTTACATTTCTACTAGCAAAACATTTTCCCCATCTGAATAGGACCCTCTTATACACCAGGAAGTCCTGTACTCCCTCCCCTCCCCCTTCCCTGGTATGGTTGCGGTCTCACCGTGAACATGAAGAAAGTGTAGAACATGAGGGCCATGGCAGAGAAGGACTGGATGGATGACATCATGTTCCTCTGCAGACTGAGAGGCAGCACGATGATCAGAGACACCGCGATCAGCAGCAGCACACGGAAACCGAATGACACCTGCGGAGGGCGGGACACAAGCTCTAACCAATCATATCACACATACAGTCAGTTCAAACCAATCAGCAACAGTACATGGAAACGTTCAATTTAACGTTTGCTACGTTGCGGAACTGTTTGTACTGAACGACACGTTTCCCCAAAACTTTCTTGTACGTTCTTAAATAGACTTTGAGGTACGTTTGCTCAATTTCTTGGGTGTGGCAGGGTGTGGAGAGGTGTGGCTGGGTGTGGCTTAAAGCAATGAGTGAAGTATTTAAATGGGATCGTTCCCCAAACTACAACCTCCCAGTTTTTAACTGGTTGTTAAGTACAGCACCGTTTCTGTTTAATTGAACGTTCCAATAAATTATTTCGTACTGAACGCAGCCCTGGGGAGGGTAGGACAGGAAACTAATCAGACCAATCACATCACAGACAGTCAGTTCTGAGAGTGTACATCCAATCAGAGCATTTATGAATGTTTATGTATCGTTTATGATGACATTATAATTTGTCTATATGCAGGTGATTTCTGATGTGCATTTCACATGTAAGCTAGGTTACGGAAGAAGGGGTTCGATTCTCTGGTTCTATTCTCTGATTGCTTCTGTATCTCAAAACTCATGACTCCTACCGGTAGGCCCAACAACTGGGCAAAGAAATTAGAGCCCAGGTCAGCGATGACAACATAGAAGGCAATACAGGTCCCCAACATCAGACCTATCATACTGTAGAGACAGAGAGACACAGAGAAATAGAGACCAGGAGAGAGAGGGGAGGAAGCGGGAGAGACATTAGCAAGATATACATCGCAACTAGGGCTGACCCCATTTAGTCAACTAGGGCTGACCCCATTTAGTCAACTAGGGCTGACCCCATTTAGTCAACTAGGGCTGACCCCATTTAGTCAACTAGGGCGGACCCCATTTAATCGACTGGTCGATTGTTTGGTTGATAGGCTGTTGGTTGACCGAGATTTCTTTAGTCAAGTAGCAGCAAAATATATATACAGTGCCTTCGGAAAGTATTCAGACCCCTTGACTTTTTCCACATTTTGTTCACGTTACAGCCTTATTCTAAAATGGATTCAATTGTTTTTTCCCCTCATCAATCTACACACTACACCATAATGACAATGCAAAAAGGTCTTATTTTTGTGTGTTCATTTATATATATATACAAAAAACGGAAATATCACATTTACATAAGTATTCAGACCCTTTACTCAGTACTTTGTTGAAGCACGTTTGGCAGCAATTACAGCATCAAGTCTTCTTTAGATTTTTTTTAGATGGGGACAGCCCTAATGGCAACAGCATTGGCTCTCAAAGGAAAGGACACATACCTCATCTCCACCAGTGTTTTGCCTGGTTTGCCGTAGGCATGGAAAGCTAGGCCAGCATAGGTCCTGCGTTTGGTGCTGCTGGCCGTGTAGACCAGAAACATACATGACTGGTGGGTCATCCACGAACAGGAGAACAGCAACAGAGTCCCTAGCACTATCCCACACTAGAGAGAGAGAAGCAAAGCGAGATATGTCAAAACTCTCAGAAAATAAGGCAACAGTGTCATCCACATTTCATATTGACAGGTGCATATTAAGGGACTAAAATGGAAATTCAGTACAACGGTGTTAACATCAGAGAGATAAAGAATGAGGTCCACAGCCTGTATATTACACCTGTTAGGGCGCGTAGAAAGGTAAACACGGAACAAATGGTGCTTCATTCATATGTCACACCAGTAGGTTACCGTATCATAAACTAGATCTGCAATAGGAATAATATTGTGACCGGTGTGAGATAGCGGTAACCGTACCTGTTTGAAACAGAAAGGCATGGTCAGCACGCTCACTCCAACGATGCTGTTGACCACGTTCATGATCAAACCCCAGTTTGAAGCTGCCGCCGTCATTTTGCACGGTTCGATGTTTTTCACCACCCAAAACTGTTCACCAAACTAGCTAGCTACGTTGAGAAATGACAACAGGAAATCGACAGCAGTGCCGGCCGTTATTTGGTCCAAGTTGCGATGATGACAGTAGTTGAATCCGGCAATTCTGCTTTGCTTTTTCCAAAACGTATCCCTCAAGAGTTTGTGACGTGACGCTTGTTGCTAGCGAACTTAGAGAAACAACAACAAAACATCACTGCATCTATCGATCTGGCAAACTAGATCATTCAGCTAAAATACATGTATGAGACATTTCGATTAAATAAAATACGTTCATCTGCATGGTGCATGTGCGTTTAAAAGGAAAGTTTGACAGTTGAAAGGAAATCGAACTTTTGTTGTTACAAAACTTGTCAACACACGTCTCTTCGATTCCCTCGATTTGAAGCTTAGCTAGCTACTGTAGCTATGTTATCATCCGTGACTCTTATACTCTGGTCCACTGTGTTGGAAAAATACCGTTACCAATTTATATCCATCACATAACATTTTTATTTCCATATTTATCATGAAATAGACGACTACAAAAGCTACGGAAATCACTATTTCCTGAATGCGTAACCAGGAAGTATGAATCTGACTCGTGACAAGACAACAACCAAAGTATAACAACTCTGGCTCGTGATGCAGTTGGAAGGCTTGGGTGCCCTCTAGCGGCCTGGCGTGTTACTGCATTTCAAAGGGGTAGCGTAAATTAATTGCATTTAAGCAGCCGCGACTACTTGAAAAGAACATCCAGATTCATGTTACGAATGACTGTCTGGCATTTTTCAGTTAGTGTGTAAAATTTGAGAAATTACTAATTTGTCACTTGATCATCCTGTAGCCATTTCTCATAATTACTTTCTCTTTACAAAGTGCAGGCAGAGATTGAATAGGCCTACAGTAGAGACTCTGTTATCATCACAAACACACAGCCACAACTCGTCCCAAATGTTATCATCACAAACAAACAGCCACAACTCGTCCCAAATTAAGCGAAAAGCAACACACATACAGATGACATCCATAATGTTCTGTTTTTACAAATCCCTTAGAGATTCCAGGAGTAATGGTCGATGTGGGAGCTGGAATCTTGAGCCATAAAATCCTGACACTGAAAGAGGTTTCTACTAGGTTCCCTAGACGCGGGTCCGAGGTCAGTTTTGTGTGTTTCTTCCTAATGTTACGGTTAGGATTGGGGGAGGGTAAACTGATCCTAGATCAGTTTGGTGAAGGTGAACTTCCACCCTGAGCCGTAGCTCTCTGGAGGTGGTTATTTTGTTGTCTAACTAGGAAGGTGGGGGACCAGTGGAGGGGGATGACCTAACCACTTTACCCCAGCTAGGGCTCTGGTCTCTGGGGAAGGGGATTGAGCGAGCGTGTGTGAGTGTGTGTCTGTGAGAATGTGCAAGCATGTGTGTGTGTGTGTGTGTGTGTGTGCATCAGGGAGGTAGGGGAGGTTAAGACAGGAAAAGCCTGGACATTGTGCTCCAGTGACCCCTCAAAATCAATGTGACAGACTGGTTGATTGGCTGGAGGGTCCTGTCTGTCCACTCCTAATCCCTCAAGGTAGGTCCATGACCTGGGTTGGGATAGGGCTGGGGGGAGTGTGTGTGTGTGTAATGAGGCTGGCAGGAGATAGGTGCGAGCAGGTATGGAGGACAGTTGCCTTGGCAAGACTGGCGGAGGCAGGACAAGGTACATGGGCAGCAGTTGTAGTTCAGGGAATTTTTCTGAGGGCACATTTCAGGGCAGATTTGGGAGGATAACCCAGTCGGGGTGAAATTAGACACAGGCATCTAGATTTGACCTCCTGACCTCTGGGGGTGCCCCAGGTCGTGGTGGGGTCACGGGGCACAAAGCAGAGCGCTGACCCCCGAGAAGTCAAGCATGAGGGCGGCTGAAAGGAGGCCTTTGTGGGGCCAGGCATGCACACAATTTCCTATGAGCACTGGGGGCTTGAGGTCCTGAGTCTGCCCAGGAAACCAGCGTACAGAGAGGAGGAGAGACGGGTGTGTGTGTGTGTGTGTGTGTGTGTGTGTGTGTGTGTGTGTGTGTGTGTGTGTGTGTGTGTGTGTGTGTGTGTGAAAGAGAGGGAGAGGGAGAGAAATAAAGCAAGAGATATATGTTGCCTATGTACAACATAGTGCCTGGAAATACAGTATGTGCTTGGAAATACATTAATGTGTGTTGGACTATGTTAGGTTACTAGGTTTACTATGTTAGGTTACTATGGTTACTATGTTAGGTTACTATGATTATGTGTGTTAATTAGTTTATTAGTTTATTTGGATCCCAATTAGCTTTTGCAAAGTCAGCATGACAAGTAACAAAACACTGGTACACTGATAGACAAGGACAGTTACACAAATTTAAAATACAACGATACACAAACAATACAACAAAAAATACTGCTTGAGTAATTGGAGATGGAAGGGAGTTCCATGCGATCATGGCTCTGTATAATACTGTGCATTGCCATGAATTCATTTTGGACTTGGGGACTGTGAAGAGACCCCTGGTGGCATAATATCTATGCATAGTCACTTTACCCCTACCTACATGTACAAATTACCTCGACTAACATGTGCCCCCGCACATTGACTCGGTACCGGCACTCCCTGTATATAGCCTTGTTATTGTTATTTTATTGTGTTACTTTTAATTTTATTTTTCACTTTAGTTTATTTAGTAAATGTTTTCTTAACTCTATTTCTTGAACTGCATTGTTGGCTAAGGGCTTGTAAGTAAGCATTTCATGGTAAGGTTTACACCTGTTGTATTCGGCGCATGTGACAAATAACATTTGATTTGTATGGATGTCTGAGCTGAATATTTTTTGATTATGCAGACAATCTGGAATTTTCATTACTGTAACACTTCTCATAAAAACTAGTAGAGAATATAATGGCACAGGATGAGACCCAGATGCAGACACAGGAGGCAGATGGTTAGAGTCTCTGATATTTATTAATAGACAAGGGGCAGGCAAGAGGCAGGTCGAGGACAGGCAGAAGTTCGTAAACCAGGTCAGAGTCAGATAGGTACAGGACGGTAGGCAGGCTCGAGGTTAGGGCAGGCAGAATGGTTGGCAGGCGGGCTCAGGGTTAGGGCAGGCAGAATGGTATGGCAGGCGGGCTCAGGGTTAGGGCAGACAGAATGGTATGGCAGGCGGGCTCAGGCTTAGGGCAGGCAGAATAGTATGGCAGGCGGGCTCAGGGTCAGGGCAGGCAGAATGGTATGGCAGGTGGGCTCAGGGTCAGGGCAGGCAGAATGGTGTGGCAGGCGAGCTCGAGGTCAGGGCAGGCAGAATGGTCTGGCAGGCGGGCTCAGGGTTAGGGCAGGCAGAATGGTATGGCAGGCTCGAGGTCAGGGCAGGCAGAATGGTAGGCAGGCGGGCTCAGGGTCAGGGCAGGCAGAAATAGTTGGAACAAGGAGGACTAGAAAACAGGAACTGGACAAACCGCTGGTAGGCTTGACGAGACAAGACGAACTGGAAACAGACAAACACTGGTATAAATGGGAGACACCTGGTGGGGGGTGGAGACAAGCACAAGACAGGTGAAATACATCAGGGTGTGACATCGAAGCAGTTAATCTCTCGTCAACCCTTAACCAGGAAAGACTGGCATGCATGTTGTTGATGTTAGTTACATTATTTTTTTTACATTTTAGTCATTTAGCAGACGCTCTTATCCAGAGCGACTTACAGTTAGTGAGTGCATGCATTTTTCATACTGGCCCCCTGTGGGAAACGAACCCTCAACACTGGTATTGCAAGCGCCATGCTCTACCAACTGAGCTACAGGGGACTACATGTGCAGTTAAGGGCAAGGTGTGCTGCTTTGTTTTGAGCCAGCTGCAGCTTTGCTAGGTCATTCTTTGCTGCACTTGACCATATTACCGGACAGTCATCAAGATGGGACAAGACCAAAGCCTGAACAGCTAGTACAGTTGAGTATTGTGTAAAAAACGCAGAACATAAAATGTTTTTGGAGGGGAAACTGTACCTCGTGTTTTAATGCTGTTAAAATCTTCCCCTTTTGCTTTGTAAATGTTTATTTCTGCTCATTTTCAACCAGAGCAATCTGTTTTTCCAGGTCTACTACTTTGTTACTGTGAGTTGAATTAAGATATGAGGCAAACGAGGATAACACTTTACCAAAGCATAAGTTATAATGCATCGCACAAGAGTAGCATACTATTCTGAGGGGGAGAAAGCTAGAAGACTTTTGGCTGCAAGGCTTAAGCAAAATGAGGCTTTTTCTTGTATCAATACAATTCAAACACCATCTGGTAAGATATCACATGACCCGGCAGAAATTAATGATATGTTTAGGAAGATTTATTCCCAATTATATACGTCAGAGGCAGACCCTGATCATAGTAAGATGACACACCTCTTATCATCATCGGACCTTCCCAAACTCGACAGAGAGCAGTCTGGGTTCCTTGACTACCCACCTACTTACTCTTGAAGAACTCAGGAGTGCATTAACATCTATGAAAAGAGGCAAATCACCAGGACCATTAAAACATGGAGAATTCCATAGAGACCAAAACACCTCACTGATTATAGTTTTGTTTAAAAAGGGCAAATCTTCCTTAGACTGTAAAAGTTATAGACCCTTAAGCCTTATTACAACAGAGCTCAAGCTGTTTGCAAAGGTACTTGCCAGCAGATTGGAACTGCTTGTAGAAAATCTATTTAGCGATGATCAAACTGGGTTTATAAAGGGTTGTTTAGCCTCAGACAATATTAGACGTCTATTCCATATCATAAATGAGTCCGAAAATGACCTAGTCCCTGCTGCACTTTTTAGTTTGGATGCAGAAAAAGCCTTTGATAGGCTAGAATGGAACTATTTATGGTGTGTTTTGAAGTCCTTTGGTTTTGGTAAAGGATTTATCTCTATGTTAAAAACATTGTATTCTGCATCCCAAGCAGTTGTGCAGACGGGAAACATTCTATCCAAGAC